AGTTTCCAAATAACAATGGTTATGTGAACATGTAAATGAGAGAACTTGTGTGCTTGGGCAGGAAAGTGTCTGGAGATGAGGCTGGAGAAAGCTGTCAGTTAAGAAGGCTGCAAGTTCAGTGTTCATCGAAAGGTATAATAGGCCTTTTTAGAAAGAGATGGATGAAACTGTGGGATATAGCCATAGAAGAAACACATGGTCCATGTTTGGAGACAGTGGTAGTGGTGGTGGTGGTGATGGCAGAGACACTAAACAGAATAAGACCCAGTCTTGTAAATGATTTGGCTTTAATTCATATTCACTGATGGCAGAAGCCACAGTGTAATTGTGGTGGACTCTTCTGTGTTACTCGTCCTGCTAGTTGTAAAACAGCAGACAATGGTTGGCGATGATCACTATAGAAGATAGGTATAGATTTCTGGTGATGAGCATTTCTGTAGGACTGGTAATTTTGGAAACTTTTCCCCAAGTCTGGATCAGACTTACAGTAGTTGTGTACACCGTTTGTTCTCTAGGACGCTTACATGTTTCCTGTGATAAACTGCTAGCAAAATTATTACTGAAATGCAAATCGAAACTACAATGAGGTATCATCTCATACCAGTCAGAATGGCCATCATCAAAATGTCTATAAATAATAAATGCTGTAGGGGGAGTGGAGGAAAGGGAACCCTCCTACACTGTTGGTGGCAATGTAAGTCAGTGTAGCCACTATAGAGAACAGTATGGAGGTTCCTTAAAAAACAGAAATAGAGTTATCATGATCCAGCAGTCCCACTCCTGGGCATATATACGGAAAAGACAAAAACTCTAATTTGAAAAGATACACGCACCCCAGTGTCCACAGCAGCACCATTTACAATAGCCGAGACATGGAAGCAACCTGCGTGCCCATTGACGGATGAATGGATAAAGAAGATGTGGTGCATATATACAATGGAATAGTGTTACTCAGCCATAAAAAAGAATGAAATAATGCCATTTGCTGCAACATGGATGGACCTAGAGATGATCATACTAAGTGAAGTAAGTCAGTCAGATAAAGGCAGTTATCATATGATATCAATTATATATGGAATCTAAAAAATGATACAAATGAAGTTACTTACAAAACAGAAACAGACTCACTGACATAGAAAACAAACTTACCAAAGGGGAAAGGAGGTAGGAGGGATAAATTAGGAATTTGGGATTAACAAATACATCCTACTATATATAAAATAGGTAAACAACAAGGACATACTGTATAGCACAGGGAACTATATTCAATATCGTGTAATAATGTAATGGGACAGAATCTGATAAAGATTGTGTGTATATATACATATACATGTGTGTGTGTGTATATGTATGTGTGTATGTGTTTAACCGAATCACTTTGTTATACCTGAAACATTGTAAATCAACTGTACTTCAATTAGAAAAAAAAAAAAAACTGCTAGCAAGAGAGGTTGCTTACCTGTAAGAGTTAAGTTTGGTCCCTGTCTGTCTGACTTCCAAATTCAGTAATATGCAAATGCACCTTAACTGTTTTGTGGCTATTGGAACTAAAAGCGGTTAAGAAAACTAAAGGTAGGTAGTTTTGAGGAAAGCTAGTCTACCACAAATCAATGCTTGCCATCAGCGAATGAAGTACAGAGAATGTGTTTCAGTCCAGGATACTTTGTGGCTAGCGGTGTGCTAGGTGAGTATGTGACAAGGGAGTAGGGTCTGGCTCTCCAGGAGTCCACTGACTGCTTGGTGAGGGAAATTAGAAGTATTCAGAGCAAGTATGACAAATGCAGGCTTAGATGTCCTTGAACATGAGTGAAAGTTGTAAAGACAACCTCAGTCTTTAGTTGAATTCCTTGTACTGTGGAGACTTTGGAAGTTTGGAAAGCTTGGAAAACATTAAACTGAAATCATTCAGAGGGCAGTGTCCAAAGTGATATGTTGACTGTCTGCCTTAAGCTCCAGGGTCTGATGAAATGTTTTAAAGGGATCATGAGTGTTTGAATCAGGACAAAAGATGAAAAATAAATTGCAGGGCTGTAGTGGACCATTTTGAGAAGCTCTGACTAACTGTAGAAAGAAAAGTAGAGCGACTGACAACACAGCAAATTTGGAAAAATGATATATTTAGAGAGAGCGCTGTTGAGAGTGTGATTTTGATGTGAGGAAGAAAATGGGATCCTGGAACATGGCGCAATGCTTATGGGTTTTTCTGCTTATATTGTGTTGGGAACATTTGCAGCCCTCACAGTTCACTGCCTCGATTTTGCCAGATTTAAAATAATACTCCTCTCTTGGGGTTGTGATTCTGATTAAAAAACTCTGGCTTATGGACCAGTAGCTCATGACTCTATATGTGATGACATGGATTTTCTTTTTTATTTGCCTACACTTTCTCCTTGACTTCCTTCTCTTTCTTCTACACTTGTTTCAGGTCTTTTATGGCTTTGTTGGAAATATGTAAGGAGATCACATAATTCCTCCTTAGGAATTATCTTCTTTCCTCTGCTTACTTTTTTCACCCTCTGTTAATTAGCAATACAACAAACTTCCCCAGAGAAATTAATTATAATTCCACAAGCTGAAAAATTTAACTTCGGGTGAAAAATAAGTAGCAGAAGTTGGTGAACCTTAAACAATAAATATTTGTATTTAATGCAGCTGCCACTAGTAATTAAGAGAAAATGACTAGCTGAAATGGACCCTAACTCACTTGGTTATTCTGAGGGGTTCTTGGTGCACTTATGCGAGTAGTAGCGATTCTGGGGCATTTTGTTGAATGTCTATGACACATTGCCACCTTGTGGCTGCATGTTTTTCTTTCGCTGTAAAAGCAAATTTTTAATATTAAGTCCACATATTTTATTTTTTCCCTAGAATTTATACTTCCCTTGATAACAGAAGATTTGAGACATCTTAGAAGAATACATTTAATACAGGGCAGGAGAATTTAAGACAGTGTCCTTGTTATTTGAAGAGGCAGGCCAAAGTATTGAGGGGTAAAAATCCACAATGTCTGCAACTAACTCTCAGTATAGGGGTGGTAGGGCAAAGAGAAGGGGGGGGAGAGAGAGAGAGGGAGGGAAGGAGGGAGAGGGAGGGAGGGAGGGAGAGAGAGAGAGAAGGAGTAAAAGTCATGGGCGGAAGTTAACAATTCACCACTGGTCAAGGGAACATGGTTTTTATTATACTAATCTTACAACTTTTCTGTTGTTTCAAATTTCCTTAAAATTTCCCCAAAATATTGGCAGAAAAAAAAAGAAAAAAAAAACAGGGGTAAGGGCATAAAATAGAGCTAAGAAGGAGGCAAAATTAACCTCTGCGTTGTGTAATGGACTGACTGCATTTGGACCCCTGGCTGGGTTCTGCGTTTTCTAGTAGCTGGTGTGTTACTGTCCAAGGTGCCCTTGCTACATTTCATTGTCCGTAAGGTTTAAGGGCAAAGTGTCTAACGCTAGACAGAAATTCGCTCTTGGAGGCCGTTCTAAGGAGGACATGGATGTAATGAACAGCAGCCCTGACAAATACTTCCAAAAGTACAATCTGCAATTCCTTTTCCCTGCTGATCAGGGCAGGTCCTGGAGTGGATGCGCGTCCAGTTTGTTGAGGACCTCTCACTAAACTACTAAGTGGCAATGAAATACAGTAAAATACTGACTGGCAATGAATTTCAGATGGTACTGATTGACAAGTGCTTGAAATTCAGCTGTTCTGTGTTACTAATGAATACAGCTGAGCTTGGGGGAGAGTTGACATCACGTAACAGCTGAGTGAGCGTAGTCTATTTCATTTCAACTGGCTTGAGAGGAGTTACTCATAGGCAAGGTCAGATTTCTTTTTGTGCCATGGTTTTGAATATGCTGCATGGCATAGACAGACACATAGATGACTTCATCCATGAATTTCCTTTTCCTGTAAATGCACCCATGAGAGTCTTAATCTGAAAAAATTCTGACAAGTATAAGCAGATGACCTTCTTCCTACCCAGGAAAACAAAACAAATCTCAGTGAAGCATCCCTAAAAATGCCTAGCTTTGAGCAGTGTTACCCAACTCTTGTTTGTTTTTAAATTTCTATGAAGCTGGCTCTTCTCTGTGGCAGTTGGAATATCCATGAATATTTTTTGTACTTCATTTTTATTCTTAATAACTATCTGGGTATATGCACGTGCACATTAATATTTTTGTCTTTAATAACCATCTAGACACATATACATGCATATATACCTACCTGAAGGAGAACATTTTAAAACATAGGGCCCTATTCAGGTATGAGAGGTTTTCTTCTGAAAGCAGGACAGATATTGAAATAAGTGTTGTGACACAAGGGATTCTTTTGTAGAAAGCTGTCTTTTGAAGTGACTTTGGTTTCTATGACTCTTGTGACAGGTTTTCTTTTAAAAAGCTATGAAGTGGTATCAGGACATATTAATTTCCATTAAGGGCTGTGGTGCTTAGAAAGTTCCCTTCCCTACGTATATTTGTGAGTACCGAAAGCTTGTGAATTTTCTTTTGTGAACAACTAAAGTGATCTATGGATTCTCTGTAGAATCTATAGAGCGATATTCTTCATTTTTTTTAGGAGGATCATGGCCCACAGAAAGATATATTTTACATAATGACTCTGGATACACACACATACATGTGTAACTTAACCATTTCATGAAATGATTCTTTTCCTTCCTTCATTGGACTCTGATAATTTCTGTTCTGCTGGTCACCATCTACTAAACTTGATTTCATGATCCACTAATACGCCATGACCCACTAATTCGCTTGAAAAACACAGCAGTGGAGGTTTTGCAGCAAGCCAGATACTTTTTCAGATGGAAGACCCAACAGTGGAACCCTGAAGTCTCTAAACCAGCCAAATTCAAAACAGTGTTAGGAGAGAGGGATTTAGAGAAGGAAAAGAGGGAAGAAAGTATGCCTGGTGGGGAGGGGTGTGGTGTCTTTCATTCTGGTTGAGAGCATCCCCAGGAAGTGATGTCGCTGTCCTTCTCTCTGCAGCTTGACCACATACTATCCCCTCCGCCCATGCCATTTCGGAAATGCAGCAACCCAGACGTGGCTTCCGGCCCTGGCAAGTCGCTGAAGTTTAAAAGACAGCTGAGTGAGGATGGAAGACAGCTGCGGCGGGGAAGCCTGGGGGGTGCTCTGACTGGTGAGTCGCATGGGTGACTTGTTTAAGAGAGGGGGTTACATTTATACAGTACAGTTGGCCCTCTGTATCCACGGGTTCCACATCCACAGATTCAACCAGCTACAGATGGAAAATATTAAAAAAAAAAAAAAATTCCGGAAAGTTCCCTAAAGCAAAACTTGAATTTGCCCTCTGCTGGCAACTATCTACACAGCATTTACGTTGTATTAGGTATTATGAGTAATCTAAAGATGACTTAAAGTATCCGGGAGTACATGCATAGTTGATAAACAAATACGGTGCCATTTTATATAAGGGACTTGAACATCTGTGAGAATCCTGAAACCAATCCCCGTGGATAGGTGGGGACAACTGTAGTGTGTCCCCAATGACAGTGGAGTTCCCTGTGTGAAAATCAGCCCCTTAGAATGTACCTGCCCCTCCACAGACCATTTGGTACAACCTAATCCAATTCAGAGAGCCATTAAATTGAGGATTATATTAGTAAACTTTACTGAAGTATAATTTACATAAAATAAAACGTACCCATTCTAAGTGTACCTGTGGATGGGTTTTAGCGAATTTACACCCCAGTGTAATTACCACCAAAGTCAAGATATAACATGTTCCCTTGCCCCTTCTTTGGGCCTAGGCAACCCCCGAGCTGCTGTTCGTCACTATAGATTAGATTTATCTTAAGAATTTTATACTAATGGAATCATACATTGCATGCTTTTTTGTGTCTGGCTTCTTTCGCTCAGTTTGTTTTTAAGATGCATCTATGTCGTTAGGTGTATCCGTAGTGTATGTTGAACCTCATAAGAAACCGCCAAACTGTTTCCAAAACGGTACCATTTTACATTCCCACCAGCAACAGGTGAATGAACTAATTGCTCTGCATCCGTGGCCATCTGTGGTATTGCCAGTTTTTTTTAATTCTAGCCATTTAAATGGGTTAGTAGTCGTATCACTTTCTGTTTTTAATTTGTATTTTCTTGATGACTCAATGATGTCAAACATCTTTTCATGTGCTCATTGGACATTCATATTTCTCCTTTTGTGAAGTGCTTGTTTAAATTTTTCACCCATTTTTTCCTTTCACCCATTTTTTCCTTTCACCCATGTTTAAATTGTGTTGTTAAAATTTAATTAAAAAATTAAAATCTAGAAAATCTACAGATAACTTTTATTGGCTTGAAAGATAGCCAAATTAAAATAACTTAAAGCATGTTTTTAAAAAAAAATAATATCCCATATAAATTTTCATGTTATTAAACTTAATTGTAAATCACTAAAGGTTAGATTTCTATTTTTTCATTCTAAGAGCTTTTTCCTCTAAATATTTTAAAGAAACTTTATTGTTTTTTAACAATAAAGTCTTCTCTTGTCTGCCAGTTCATAAATGACCTGGAAAACAAGTTGAGTTCTTCATTTTTTTGGAGAATTATGGATTTTGACTTTTGGGAGATGAAATTTCTGGGAGCAGAAATGCTTCTGTACCATGATCAGCGCAGAGCCTAGAACATGTGACCCACTGTGGCACACTGCTGAGGTGTAGGGTGAAGCTGACTTTAGGCCAAGGGGAAAAAATTCATCAAAAAATTGCTGCACTTCATTAAAATTAGGGCAAATATTCACACTTGAGTTTTACTGATGTTCTTTTAATGCTTGTTAGGACATTTTCCTTTGCTTTCATTTCTATAAATGCAGAATATTTGCTTTTTTAAGTAGGAGATCCTAAAGATTTAGTCTAACCCTTAGTTTTTTAGCAGGGGAGATTAAATCTTAACCGTTAAAAGGCTCACCCCTTACTTACTAATTTCACTTAGGGAATTTACTTACTTTGGTTAAACTATTTTTGACCAATAGGAGGGGGGGAGTAATGGTTGCTCCAATTTTTGCTAAATCCGTTTACTTAAAACTTTAAAATAATGCAAAGGTATAGCACTTGATGCAGATATATGACCAGAAACATGAAATTTGGCCTTTACCTTTAAAAAATAGAAAAGAAAAGCTGAACTTGATTCCCATTTCAAAATCTCAGCAGCTCTAGCAATTCTAGCTAACCTTTTACAATTTAGCTTGAGACAAAATTCTTTTACTTAATTAATTTTTGGTCAGATAATTTTCAAAAATGTTTAATACTCCTTAGGAGAGCTTTTAAAAAAAATCTCTTGAACATCAGCCTGTTTTAAAAAACAGTAGCTTGAAAGTGATTTTGGAATATGAAGAAAACATTCTTAGTTGGTCTTCTACATAGCTTAGCTGAGGATTTAATGAAGTAACACATACAAAGCAGTTAGCCCAGTAATGGTGGCTATTAGTATTGGTGCATAACAAATTGAATTTAGGATATTTGCAGTTTATGGATAACTTGGTCTTGTGAACATCAGTTTGAAACCCTTATCAATTGAGTTTCTGCTTTGTGTCAGGCACTGTGCTAGTATCAGGTGTTAGAGCAGCGAGAAGAAAGCATCATTTCTGATCATTAAGAAACATGGTTTCCACTAGTTTTAGGCAACTGTAAATAATCACATATGATCTTCCCTTGGAATAGACCTTGTTGCTAAACTTATGTCAAACTGGTTTTGACATCATAAGTTTGTGCCTGATAGTTTCTGTAACTTTAAGACCAGCCGCCTTCCTATTGTTTAACTTTGTTTTATTCCAAGGTTTGTTTTCCTTTAGCAGTTTTCTACTGTTTTCTTTGAAACAAAGACTATGTGAAGGCTTAATTTATATTTTGAAAATTTTGCCACCCAATTAGCCTTTATAAGTTTCACTAAACTCTTAGGTCTTTGAGAGGAAGGTCTGTGACCTTTTCATCTATTCATCCCTAATGACAGCTGACACGAAGACTTTACTATGTGGCAGGCACAGCTTTTAGGGAATTACATTTATTGACTTATTTAATTCTTACAACATCTCTGTGCACTTATGAGGGAGGCACTCTTATACCCATTTTACAGATGAGAACACTGAGGCACAGACAGGTTGAGTAAATTGCACAAGATCACGATGCTCAGAAACAGCAGAGCCAAGATTTGAACCCAGGTGTTGTGGCTCCACAGTCTGTACTTGTGGCCACTGCACTGTGCCTAGTACAGCTGGTACCCAATAGGTTTTCAATATATTCCAGCAGGATTAGTTCGAGTAATTTTTTTTTTTCAATTAATTGGAAAATTTGTGCTCAGTTAATATCTGGGGCTGACTCAATCTGTATGGATCCTGGTCCATTAATTACAAAAGTAAATTAAAACTAGACACTTAAGACATAGTAAAAACTTTAAAATTTACATATTCCTTAATCCAGCCATTCTGTTCCTCAGATTTCATCACAAGGAAATAGTCGTGAATATGTATAGAGAATTAACTTTAGTTATGTTTAGAGCAGCACCACTTATAATAATTAAAATCGCATATTATCTAAAATCTAGATATCTGGCAAAAGAATACTGGTGAAACATAATATGTTATACACATAAAGTGGAAAACAATTATAAACATTAAATCATGTTGCGAAAAAATACATTTTAACATTGAAAAACTCAATATATTTTTAATGTGAAATCTCATTGTTGAATGGACTCATCTTTTCATAGGACTTAATATAATTGTAATTAAATAATTATATATTTAATGAGAGGAAGGAAAACAACTCCTGTCTACTAAAGAGTTTTCTCAAACTGGGATTATGGTTGACTTGGTCCCCTTTATAATTGGGCAAGTGAAGGTTGCTACATGGCCCTTTTTATACCCTGCAATTCAATCCATGAGTTACTTTTGCCCCTGAGTTTTTTTGTGGTATTAGGTGGTGTACCAGTTGACAACAATAATGCTACATAACCACAAAGTTTCACTTTCAGACAACAATACATATTCCCTTTTTTCTCCTGTGGCTGCGGATCACCTGGGTTTTGGGTTATTTAACCTGGCCTCTGCTGTGATTGGTTCTAGGATGCAGTCTGGGTCTAGATCTGCTCCATGTGTCTCTCCTCTTCCTTGAGCCAGAAGCTACCCAAGGTATTATGTTCTCCTGGTAAGAGACAGGAGCAAGCGTGTGCACGTCCACCTGCACAGGCAGGTTTCAAGCCTCTGCTGGCACCATGTCTGCTAACTTTCCATTGGCCAAAGCAAGTCACATGGCCAAGCCCAGCATCAATGGGCAGAGGCATGCTCCACCCACCATGATACCTTGGCAAAGATGCAGATCTATAACATTCCCGGGGGGAAGCAAAGAATTGGCACCAATAATTCAGTCTGACATAGTTAGCTTTCGTCTCTCTTTAAAAACAGTCTTATAGAGTGAAAATATTTACATTTACCAGTTTTTCAATTAAGAAAGTAATATGGGGCTTCCCTGGTGGTGCAGTGGTTGAGAGTCCGCCTGCCGATGCAGGGGACACGGGTTCGTGCCCCGGCCTGGGAAGATCCCACATGCCGCGGAGCGGCTGGGCCCGTGAGCCATGGCTGCTTGAGCCTGCGCGTCCGGAGCCTGTGCTCCGCAACAGGAGAGGCCACAACAGTGAGAGGCCCGTGTACCGCAAAAAAAAAAAAAAAGAAAAGAAAATAATATGTGTTCAATGTGGACAGTTCAGAAAATACAGAGCACCATAAAGGAAAAAGCTGTAAGCCCATAACTCTACCATGCAGAAACCCTTGATGGAACTTTTGACATTTTCTTCCTCAACTAAAATTTTGAATGACTAACAGGATTAGATCAGAGGAAAAAACAACCAGTACCTTTTACGCAGGGCTGGCATTTAAACAGCAGACCTAGTGTTCACCACGCCCATCCCTGCCTGGATTTTTTTTCTTTTTTTGAAGCTGATGATGTTTTACATCTTCATGGCCTGCAGTTTGCTAAATAGGCACCCCGAAGCATCATGTAAACATTGACTGAGCTTTGCAGCCCCCTGATGAGAAATAGAAGCATTATTCAAATCATACGGATTCTTAAATCTGGGCCTAAGTGGTAATGTGCCTGACAGTTCACAGCAAGGAAGCTGCAGAATGAAGGG